CGGGGGGCGAGCTTAGCGGGAATTTCCAGGAGTACGGGTGCTTGTCTCTGGCGGTGTCTTGCATGGTGCTCAATCACGACGGCAGTCTGCTTTTTGTCGGGGGCGAGGATGGCGTGCTGGCCATGTATTGCGTCGCCGAGGACCCGAAGACTGCGGAGAGGAAGGTGTGTGGACTCAGGGGTGGGGGGGTTGTGTGAGTGGGTCATGTGTGAGTTGAACATGATTTTTTGCACGTGGCACCGGAGCGGACTAGTCCTGCTCTCTTTACATAGCACCATGTTTCTTGCCCGCACACGGTGCACGGGTGGTGAAACGATGCTGAAAAAAACGGTTACTGCGTGCTTTTCGCCGGAGGGCTCGTTTGGAGTACTAGCGCCAGACGCAAAACCTGGCAGTATACATATAGCCTACCCTCGCATATTCAATCGAGTATTGTTACTTGCGCAACAGAGATATAGTTGTATGCCGCGTTGTGGCTCTAGGCGACGATCACGGCTCGTCACGCATACCCGACGGTTCTAACATTCACACCGTACAAAGCAACATGCATGGGTAAACATGGATGTACTACAGGTACATTGATTCCGAAAATGTCTCCCTTGCGGCCCATCCTGTATATTGTTTAAACCGTTTGTCTGGAGTTTGAGGTTTAGGGGTGCCAGGCCAGAATAGACGGAGCAGGGCAAACAGTTCGAACGATGTTTTGGTCCCGTGATGATCTTTTGCGATGGAACGCTTGTTGTGCTTTGTTCGACGCTTGCGTCGTTGCTGCATTCTTGTGTTGTCAGGCCCGAGAAAGGGATGCCGTGGAGTACATGGAGGAAATCCTGGTTACCAAGACCGACATTAAGGTCCAGTCCAAGCAGATGCAGGGGCTCAAGAACGCTGTGGACGAGCTCATGCTCAACAATGAGTACCAGCTCCGCCTAAAGGATATGAACTACAAGGAGAAGGTAAGCCTCTAATGTAGGCTATCGCACGAAGATGTGGAAGGCCATGAGAATCGCACCTAAAAGGGGCCAACGTACGAGTGGGTATCCGGGGTGAGGGTGCACAACGGTGTACAGACGGGCGGCAGTTGTTGTTGTTGTTGTGTGTCTTGTCCACAAAGTTGGGTGAGAGTACAAGTCGGTTCCGCGACCTTGTTGGCTCTGCGAATTTTCCGAGGAAAAGCTACAAACGAACGAGGTGGAGAAAAGTTAGTAGCTTTGTCTCTTCGAGACACTACGCGGAGAATTATCGTAACGATGTAGCCGATAAGCTTCGGAGGGTGTATCAGATAGGAGCAGATGACGGGGTATAAAACAGAGAGGCAGAACACACCATATTACGTTCGTACCATCAGTAACTCTAGCTTTGGAGTGTTTTTAATTCGAGGATATCAAGAGGGCCATCCTGTCAATCGACTCTGAAACTATTTACCTGTGATTGGTTGTACCAATTGCACCAGACTCGAGAGATCACAGACAAGTTCACGGTGGAGGTGGAGATGGACCGTCGCTGCTACGGAGAGCTCTTAGACGAGAGAAAAAACATGGAACTTACGTACGAGGAGAGGATTGCGCAGCTGCAGGATCAACACGCCGAGGTAGGATAAGCTATTTTTTGCCCGTATGCATGCTCTGTTTGACTCACAAACGTATCTCTAGGCAGTGATACCTCGACCACAAGGCCAGGCACGCCGAAATCTACGAGCAGCAACACGTTTAGCCAACGACGTTCCCGTCAGATGACGCCCACGCGCGGAAACAAAGACTGGCCTCTGCCGTCTTCTATGTCATGTTCGTACGCCGTATTATGCAACCCCGTTGTTTCGTCACACACAACTTCTTCGTACACCGAAGGTGTTTATCATGTACTATCTTTAAAACGCGTGCCCTGTATCTACTGCACCGCAGGAGAGGACTGGGCTGGAGGCGCAGCACCGAAATAAGATTAACGCCGAGATCAACCGTTACCAGGCCATGGTGCAGGAGAAAGAGGAGCTCAGCAGGAAGTGGGACGAAGAGGTATAGGGACATGCGTCATTCACATCAATATGATATCACTTGGCGACGTTTGGGGTTGCGCCAGTCGTCCACCTAGATACAGTCAGCCATGCTCTCTTGTGAGCATTGCTAGAGGCCAGCACGGCCACGGTTGTTCTGTCAGTACCCGCAAAACATTGAGAGAAAGAGTGAAAATGGGCGAGTGGTCTCCCTGGGTGTAGTGATAGAGTATCAATTCGGGGATGTGGTGCTGTAGAGTAGGATGCGACTCCTTTCGAGCCTCGAAACTCCTGATCGGCATTGCATGCTGGCCGGCATGGTCATGTCACAGAGCCATAACGTAGTTCCCGAGTGAGTTGTCTTCACCGCCTTTTCTTCAAGCTCAGCTTGGCATTTTTTCACTAAGCCCCAGAGGTTGTGCTTCTGGATCGTTGGGGTGAACTATTTCACCAGAATCGCGCCCACTGCATGGTGGTTTAGGGTCTGGTTGCCAACGGGCACTCCATGACGAATTGGCATACTTGCGTCATACACGAAGTTTGCCCCACAGGTGCTGGTATCCCTTCAATCCTATACAGGTGTAGCGTACCGCTGAAAAATGCCGTTAGTGGTGTCCCGTTCTGCTGCAGTCCTCAACGTTTTTATATTTACGGTGAAATTGTGAATCGTTTCTCGTTGCGCATTGGTATAATGTCATCGCTTCTTGCTCGTTGACCATCCGCTTCTTGCTCGTTGATGATCGTACATCAGAACCAGAGTCTCGTGGACGCTCACACGGAAGCGCTGCAAAAGGTTATCGAGGAGTACGACAAAAAGGTGAACATAATCACTTCGTAAGTTCTTATTTCAACTTGTATATTGTGTCGAGTTGTAAGTTGGACTGCTTCGTGTGTCGCTCTTTGGCGATCACATTGAGACAGGAACTACTTGCTCACGAGCAAGTGTTGGGAAAGCGGCATAAACGGCCACACAGCCGAACGACAAGACGATAGCACATTCTTGAGCCGAACGACGGAAATTGGCCAAAACCGCTTCGATTGCACGTAGATATGGAAAACGTTCGTGGAGCAAATGAGCATCATTCTCTAGACAGCCATTCTGTACTAAGTCACACGTCATCATGGATGTAGACATAAGTGCCAACAACGACGATATTCTCGGGTCTTTAAATCAGTGATTGTTCCAAGGGGGGGGTGTCGATGTCTACAAAGCCGATATCTTTACAATAGCCAACCTTGCTCCATTCGTGGAATTGTGCTATGAGTCTTGGTATACGCACAGTGAGCGGCACGAGATGCCGTGCGTAACGCCAAACACGAAAAAGAGGGCGCTCAAAAATGAACAGAGGGATACGTTACCAGCGCTTGGCGTTCAAAACATTTACCCCCAATCGAACTCTTGCATCTATACGCCATGAGCTTGAATCAGGCGACCGACGGAACGTCAGACCCACTGGGTCAAGGGTCTGCATGAGCCGCGAGATGGCTAACACGCGGTTACCCGGTATGTTGTTGCTCATGTCCGCTGTTTTGGCGCCAAAGGTGGAGGAAGAGCAGTCCCAGCAGCGGGAGCTAGCCCTGGAAAAGGAGAAGATGGCCGCCGCTTTCGACAACCTCAAAAACCTCGTAGAAGAAGACGCCGACACGGAGACGGAGTACGTCAAGGTAGAGTATCGTTCTTTGCTGTCGGGTACCGGACCTTAGCGTGGTGTACGTGGAGCGTGACACCCAAGCGCATAACGTTTGCCAGGTGTTCATCGAAGCACGTAGCTTCGTCGTTACGCTGGTCACGGCGGAATATTACCAGTCGCGGCGTTGGTTTGCACGGTGCCATCGCCAAGGACCACGACAAGGAATACTCAGGACTTATTGTGGCGTTGACATCATCAGCTGTGTATACCAGACGTAAATTTTCTCTTCGGAGTTTGGCGTGAACTGGAATGGTTGTATCACAACTGCCATATGACACACCCAAACTGCAGGCCATCCCAGCCCAGCTTTGCTTGGCGGTGCGGCCCCAAAGGCAAAAATAGCCGATGGCGGAACGCAGGGGGTCGCTCCCACCAAAACTCCACCATGCACCCGCCACTCGTCAACTCCGACCGGGCAACCCGTTGTATCAAAGATTGCATCCACGGCGTGATCTTTTTCGCGATACTTAGGGACGGAAAAGGGTGTAAACCACCTTAACGACGACCTCTGACATGCTACAATACGCCCCGACACGTATTTGCTTCATGATCGTCCTTCACCATTCCTCCCGTCGTTCAGACCAAGTTCATGGCCAAGCTGGCCGCGGAAAAGGAGGCGACGCTAAGGCTCAAGGGGGAGAACGGCATCATGAAGAAGAAGTTCTCACGCCTGAGCAAGTAAGTTCACCTACCAAGGTGCAGCGAAGCGGGGTTGGCAGACTTCAGACGCAACAACTTTTTAGTCACCGTATCAACTGTGCCTGTCATGCGATACTCGTCGTTGCCGTTGCCGACAGACCCTGATTAGCAACAACTGGCTTAACTTGTGAGGTCGATTGGCTTTCGTGCAGTACGCGAGCGGAGTGAAAGACCTCACGAAAGCCGAAAGCTCCAAAATACGGTCACTGATGTCTCGGTGTGATCCCTGTTTCGCTGTCTTTACCGCGCCATCATCGTGGCACCGACGACAATGGTGATCGATCCCTAATGCGAAACCGGCGTGACGGCGTGTGAAGGCAAGTGGAGGATCAGAAGGAGGACATGACCACCCTGCAAGAGAGACAGAGAGATCTCTTCGAAACCATCAAGTCTCTCGAAAAGGACATCCAGGTGAGCTGGGCGTTCAGAGATACACACACAACATCAGGGAACGAAACCAAGACACCAAATTCCGCCGAAACTAGTATCGCAGCACAATCTAGCCCTGGTTGTGCAACCTTGTTGTTGGCGTGGTGCCCTGGGGTTGCATGGTTGCGCAAGAGATCTAACTAATGGTGAATGCATTGCGTTGTGCGCCCAGCAGTTCGTGAGCTAGTCAGCGGCTGCAGATGTGATCGTGCTTCAGACGAAAGTAAGCCGTCCAACGTTTTGGGCTTGCTTTGTTTTTTTTTAACATCAGGGGCACAAGAAAGAGATTCGCGAGAGAGAGGAGACCATCGCCGATAAGGAGAAGCGCATCTACGATCTCAAGAAGAAAAACCAAGAGGTGAGGGTCCAGGATGATGCACAATTCTCGCTACTATGTGCAAGAGCACTGGAAAAACGTAAAATTTTACCACCGGAGTGAAGGGGCATACTCTGCGCTTGGTATCGTGCTTCTGCTCAAACAGAAAAAGTGGCGTGGTCCTTTTGACAGTACCATGAGTGATAGTTATTGCATGGAGCTAATGGATTCCTAGAGGGATTGATTGCATTAATCATCGTCGCCGCAGGCCCCGCGCACACATTCCGTGAAGTGGCCGTTCAGTGTTGCCATGTTGAGGATCGGGGATGTGAAGTATGTCTGGCACCTCTGTTGTGTTGCTGACGGCATACTGTCCAAACTCTAATGATTTCCCTTGATGCAGCTGGAGAAGTTCAAGTTTGTCTTGGACTACAAGATCAAGGAGCTCAAGCGCCAGATAGAGCCGAGGGAGAACGAGATAGCGCACATGCGCAACCAGATCGAAGAGATGGACCTTGAGCTTGAGCAGGTACTACTGTAGCACGACCGTTCTCAGTGGCCCTAGCATAGTACTCCTGCACCTCGTAATTAGTGAGATGGCGGTATCAACATGGGCCTAATAGTCTGTACGCCAAGGAGGTACACGTGAACCATGATGGCATCTGGCGCACGTGACGCTACTAGTACCAGGCATTAAACAAGGGCACGTTCTGTCCTCGTTAAGACAGACGTCTTCCCTTAGATATTGCACATTGTCTTCTCTTCGCAAACCTGTACTTTATTCCCGGCGCTCAATACATTCCTGGCTGCACGTTGCGTGGTGCTTGCGACTCGCAGTACCACAAAAGCAACTCTGCCCTCGACCTGATGATCGGAGAGCTCCGGCTCAAGGTGGACGGCATGCAAAAGGAGCTTCACACGCAGAACAAGAGGCTAGAGGAGGGGGCTCGTTTCGCAGAGCATTTCCACAACGACCTCAGGGCGGCAGTGCAGGTGTAGCAATGCAGCTGTAGTAGCAGTCTACCATGATGACTTCGCCGAGATACAAGGCACGAACGATCTTGACGGCCGTAGTGAGGTATGGCACGAATTCTTGTATCTGCAACTGAACACCTGGCTAGTCAAACCAGTCCGCTCACGTCAACCAGTTGTCACTGGACGGGTGCACAATCCGCTTGGGGTCGGAGTCTCCGCGAGGAAGAAGGCGTGGCGGTACAGGGCATCGTTCGGCGCGTTTGGTCAGGAGGAAAATCTGGCCTCGATCAGACTGTGTGGTGTGGTGATCGCTGGTCCTTCGGAGACCGTTCGTCGAAAACGTGTAGTCTAATCAAACGAAAGGAATTGCTCTTGAAATGATTTGTCTTGGCAGATTCGACTTAACGTGATTTGACTTGACGTGGCTTGACAGAACATGGCGACGGACGACAACCGGGCCCTCAAGAAGGCCATGGTGGCGCTCTACAAGCTCTACAACAACGTGAGCGTCGCGGTTGATGCCTATGTTCACTTGTTTGTTCTATCATATCGCAGATCGAAGGGATATTTTTGCAAATTCCGAACGACTGCCATGACGTATGGGTGACGGTCAGCTCCAGGTTCACGACAAGATGGAACCAACGCGAAACGGAGAGTATGCCAAGCGCTTGCACAACAAAGTAACGTAGCTGCTGGGCAACGACAATGACTACATGGCCGCCGGATGAGATTTCGATGCCTCTTTCGACCGCGTTGGCAGAAACTCCACCCGAACCGACCGCAGTACCAAACAGTCGATCTTACCACGACGTTGTACGTCATCCACTGCTGTGAACTATGTACCGACATGCTATGTTTCAATGTGTGACACGTTTGTGCCTTGTTCGTGTAGGGACGCACTCTGTACCCTCTACAGACGTTCTTTGTATCCCGCAACTGAATCAGCTGGTTCCAGGTGCTTAGAGCGGTTGCGCAGTCCACAAAAGCTGGAAAAACATGGTGTTAACCGCGCCTGATTATTAGGCATCGCCGCTGCGTTGGTTGTGCTTGTGTGTATCGATGGGTGTGGCATGTTTCCTTACGGCGGGCAACCTGTTTTAGGACAACCCGGTCGCGTCGGTCAAGAGGGGAGAGGATGGCGATGTGCAGCGGGAGTACAATCGCCAAAGAAAGCACCTGGAGAGGAATGTCGAGGCTCTCAAGAGCAGCATTGACAAGGTCCGTTACAACAAAACAGAGGGTATGTAAGCTTTCTGATCGACATGCAGGTGACCCTGAGGGCACGGATACCTCCCATAAATGCTCGATGTATGCCACCGAGACAAGCATTTCACGACCTCCACTCCAAAAAAACTGACATTTTCAAATGAACCGTATCGGTACACGAATGCACAGGACAAATAGTAGTTGTGCCCAATACTCGATTTTGTCTTCACCATAGCACCGTCGTTCCCGCCCATCGCGACCCCTGCTCTATGGTGCTTGATGTCACGTGTGCGTGTGTTTTGGTTGGGTCAGGATATGCGCATGTTTCACCAGGACCGGTCTCGGCTGAACCGGGAGAACGTAATGCTCACGAGGGAGATCAACGACCTCAGACGAACAGCCAAGGCGCTCTCGCTGCAGCAGAGTGGAGTCGAGCGGGTGCGATATTTCGCGAATGTACATAATTGTCCGTGCCACCCCGAGAATTATGTTGGAAAGCTCCGAAAATCTCTTGCTCGCCAGGTCCCGTATGCTACAAGTATCGGGGCCGTTTGGTACACTGACTTTTTCAGGTTCGGAAGATACCTGCGGTCAGCAATAGCAGAAACGTGTAATAATACTTACCAATTGCTGGCCCTAGCCTGAGAACCCTGACTTACAGTGTTTCACGAGCTTAACAGACCAGATTTCGCTGTCTTATCCTCGTCTGCCGGAGAGAGTGCAAAGGACTGAAGCGTGTCCACCGATAGGTCTCTTCAGCGAGAATTTCGCCGAGCCCTGCATCTCGGTAAGAGGTTTGTCAAGTGTTCTTGCTCCTGTGAAAAGCAGCACTCAGTATCGTACCCATGTCGTCTTCTCAGGCCATGGCGGGAGACCCGGACGTTGATATGAACCAGCCGCTCCGAGCGCTCTTGG